GGCCTTATTCTTTTTTTTTTGCACGCACACAAAAGCCAAGTTTTTATATATAAACATGAAGATTGGTAAAATCAAAACCTCTACAATGTGAAACGTTTTCATAGACAAGGACTTGGAGAGTTTTCTTTCTTTATGTTTCGGAGATGAGTTTTTTTCTGTTCCACACATCCTTCTCCGAGTAACACTTGAAACGAAACCTTGCAATGATTTTGTCAAAAACCCTGCGGTGACTCGAAGTAGAAGTAGTCACGTTTCTACGATGACTTGGTGTTGACTTATAAGAGAGCCAACCTCCCAATACAGTCGCTAGAAAGCTTGGTTGTGTCCGAGGGATGGAGTCAACACCGTCTTCTTGATCTTCCCTTGCCTTTATTTTCCGGGTTTCCGGTTTTGTTGTGAACCTAGATTGGTCCCAAAACATGTAATGGTGATTCCGGGTAACGAGAAATGCTAGAAACATGTTAACACGAATGGAAGAGAAAAAGATTCTTACAGTTTGAGTTGTTTGAAAGAAGAAACACGCGGTGTCTTGCTCTTGTGCTTCATCATCAAGATGCAGTAGTTTGAGATATGGCGTATGAATCGAAGCTGATTGAAGTTTGTCCAAAAAACTCAAAACCCGTTAGAGCATTACGACAAAGCGGAATGAAAACTTGACTATAACAATCTACATAAAGCCTGGTTAGAGAATCTAGCTACCAAATTGCATAGCTAGACCTGCTCTACTCAACCACAATACATCAAAAGATCAAATAATATCGTACCGATGCAATTCTAGAGAGCTTTTGTACATCACAGAAGAAAAGAGGCTGAGTTACAAACCTGATCTCCGTCTTTAATGCCGAATTCAATGAGGTACTCAGCATCGTTAATCAATCTTTGATCTTCATAGGATAAGCAGAACTGTCCCCAAACATGTGGCCTTCATCAAGAACCATTTAGCAATTACTTATTCTCATAATTCAGATACAGAAACAAGAACTCAAATCAAGAATCAAAATGGTGTACCATGAGATTTTGCCAGTGCCTGTGTTGGGTAAATGAGAAAACGCAGCTTCTACAGCCATCTTAAGCTCCCTTACTGTAGCTGTCTTCAACACTTCAATACCTACAAAATCAAAATAGCAAAACCATAAAACCACCAAAATTCAGAAACAAGTCAAAATTCTCTCGGAAACAACAACCAAATCAGATGGTTAAAACCTAAAGATTCATATGAGTTAAAGTACCAAAAGAAGATCCATCAAGTTTGAGAACAGTGAGTTTGATCGGTTCTTCAGGCATCTGATTGTAATTTAAACTCCTTCGACGAGGGAGTCCATCGATTAGCCGGAGAGGAGAGAGAGACGCGGCAAAAGAGCGGCGTGGAACTTCCATGGATAAGAAGAAAATTGAATTATTATTTTTTTTTTTTCTCGGGGCTAAGACATGAAACTACTTCCAAATTGTTGGAACCGGACAAGGAAAAATCAGAAGTGGAGTTGTGTCGGAGTGGGAGATTGATCCCATAGGAAGAAGATGAAGAAAAGGAGAGATACTTTGAAAGGAATCATGGTTAAGGGATCTCTGTGTGTTTTCCAGTAACTTTATTACCAGTGGAAATGTTCTGCTTTTGATTGACGATGACAAATTAACAATATAAATATTTTTAATTATAAAAAGCATTAATCAATAGAGTACATCAACGAAGCACCCATGGCCTAATGGATAAGGCGCTTGACTTCTAATCAAGCGATTGTGGGTTCGAGTCCCACTGGGTGTGTCCATTGGACAATCTTCATTATTCTTTTTTCACTTTTGCAGTTTTTAACCAACTCTTCTGCTCGTTTACTGATCTTTTTCATATTGAGAAAATTTCATAAATAAAACCCGAAATCTTGAACGATTTACATAAATTACGTCAAAAGTACTAAAAATCAATATTTGTAATCCCAAAAAAGAGAACAAATATCAGTTTCTCCATATCCAAAATTTATGTTTCGCCTTCTTGAAAACTGAAGAAGAACAACACACGAGTTCAAAAAATTAGGCATCGCACTATTATTACTACTCTAAGCCACCTTTGCAAAACCAAAGTTGACAACTCTATATCTCTACTTGAACATCACTGGTCTACAGCATCTCCTTAAGTTAAGGCTTCCTTTAGTCTCTTTTCTCATCGAGGCCTTTATGCTCACTAGAGGCCACTCATGTACTTTGTTACCTCCCGATGATCTTATAGTATGCATATAAACCAGAGCCGAAGAAACCAAGAAGCTGTCCAATGACATTCATCTGCGTTTAATGAACCAAATACAAGAACACTACTGAGATTAGTAAACGTACATGGCGATTTTAGGTTTCAATAGAGTAAATGGGACGGTGAAGAAAATACCAGGTCGAATGGGAGTCCACCGAAGAGCTTCCAGCCTAATCCAACCGTGAAAAGATCCTACAACGACATGATATAATGCTCAAAATTTTCTGCTTTTCAATTATCAAATCATAAGACGCAAAAGATTCTACTAGTCTCATCATTCCCAACAGATCCATGCACTGACTACTCTCAGTCTCAGCGAGTCTTAAAGGGATTCTTCTCCTTAACAGATTAGTTTCACATTATCTTTTTGTAAAGGAGATATAATTAAGTGAAACCGACCTTCATATTGCCACAAATTGTCTGCGTGAGAGCCGAGTTGAGAGTGGTGTTAAGAAAAATGCTGTAGTTTAAGAAGAAAGCTAACACGCACGAGCAGAGTAACACAGCCTGGTTGAGAACATAATGGAAAAAGAGATCATCAGTCTCGCAAACAGAAGTGGACAGATACAAGGAAAAAGAGCAGGTTACGCTACCATGAAACCAGGATATAAGAGGTAAGGAAAGTTAATCGTCTTCTCCAAGTCACCGCAAACAAATGTCCAAATCATCAATATAGGTCCGCATATAATTCCTATCATTGAAAATCTCACAAATTCAAAGAAAGTCTTCAGAATTTAGGATAGTTTTGTTATCGGTTTAGATTACCATTGCACCACATAAGGCCAAAGCTATTCAAGCCACTTGATTTCCCTGAAGAACCAGAAATTAGACTTGAGTAAGAGAGATTTCAAACTGGCAGGAGGGAATGTAAACCAATTTATGCAGAAAAGCAGGTGACTAGTGTACCAGTCCGGGCAATGGTTGCTAAATATACTGCGGTTGATATGTTGGCTAAGAATACAACAGCATATCCATAAAAGTCAAATGACAAGTCCCTAGCTCCAGCAAAAAATGCGCCAAACACGATAATGCCGACACTGACATCAATCTTACAGGAGTTTAGTTGTGCATATAAGAATAAAGAAGCATGATTCTCGTTTTAGAGACAAAAACATTAGCTGGATAAAGATAACACATAAGCCTCTGGCACATGTAACATACAGAATAAAATGGAGCTACCAGTATCTCTCACATACTCTTAAATCCTAACTCTTGTCAACTTTGATCAAACACAAGGAGTTTTTTCTTCCTAAAGGATACTATTAAAATTAGTCTATGAATAGTTCTGGAAATCATTTTAACTATGACTTCAATGATGAATAGATATCATTTTTGTACGAACAGAAAGTAGTATGAGAAACTGTGATTCACCTTCCAATGATAGACCGCGTATATCTCTGACCTGTGAGCATGTACTCAGTCACCATAGTAAATGCCACTGTAGTACGCCTAAGTGTGGTATACATGGGAACATTTACCCCTCTGACAGATGCCATAGAGGCTAGCTTTCAGGAGATATACATCAAACAAATTTGTGATCAGTTACTGCTTGCAGGATCCAAATTATAAACAGACAATTACCAGGATGGTTCAGTGAAATGATTACCATGTACATAAGATAGGCTATTGATAAAGGAAGGGTGTGAAACAATGTCTTCAACGGCACAAAACTTGAGGCATTATCAGAACTGGAAAAAGAATCAGCCGCTGTGAAAGATATGATCTTCTTGCGTCTCAACGCATATAGAAACAAGCTGGAGGAAACCATCTGTAGAAACAAAAGTGTCAAGCTAATTTAGATATTGCCTTCCCTGTAGAAAACATAAATCTGAGTCTCATAGAACACAAGTGTGACTGCAAACGAGAATCTCACGTATATACCTGAAGTAAGGTGATGACGTTTACGCAAGGGAAATCATAGGACGAGAGAGCTGCTTTATTGAATAGCACAAGCATAACTGTGAATTCACACCACC